CAACATATCAGACACTTCATAGCGGCTTTCAACTTTCATGCTTTGTCGCTTTGACTCGAGCTCGAATCGAGTCGCCGGTCGTGTCCGGTGTCTCAGACGAATCTCTTCGTGTTTTATAAACGTGATTCTGTAAGCAGGTTTTAGGTTGCTGTTGTCAGAGATAATACGTGGTTCTCTGGCACCATCCTCGATAGAGTCGAGTGCGCGAGGGAGACGTGACGCTAATGCATTTGGAAGTTGGGGTGCGTCAGCCGAAATACCTGTCGGAATGTCGCACAGAGACCTCCAGGATGCTTGACTAATTGTAATTGAAGTTATGTACGCGAATCAACGTTAGCTCAGAGACGCGCGATGCATAATGCATCCTGCATTCGTTGTATATTTCTTCCTCCCCTATCTCTTTTGCATCGACAATTGCGAGCCACAGATCCGCCATCTTTCCACCGAGATAATTTCAGCGGTTGCGTTGTAAAATTAGTTGAAACGCTTTTATTAACGTCCCCCGACGTTCTATTTTATGGGCTGTGCAACAACGATAAATCCTTTGCTAAAATATGTCGCATCTGCTTCTCTCTTTCACTCCAAAAATCAGATATGCGTGTGAAACAAAGGTGTCCACCGTTGCGGAAATGCTGTGAGAGATAATAAGTTTCCCGAAATTTCGATTCGTCAGACTTTTGGAAACCCGCGATACTTGCAGTCGCGCTCGCTATAAAAATAATATAAAAATAGCACTTTGAATTCAACTCAAGCGGCGTCGTTCTTTTTCTTTCACTGGCTGCAATATCCGTCGCCGTGTCTATGGACATAATCTATCGCCAGTACGTGAACGTACTACGCTTTCCAGTATAGAATTGGGATTGGCGGTTGGATGGCTTCGAAGTCCGCACCGATAGAATGCCACAGCGTCTCACCTTAGAATTCCATCCGAGGGAAAAATTACGTATCCACGTAAACGCGCGTTTGCTCTTTATCTATCTCCAATGTCTTTGGGGCACATCTCGAGATATCTAAATTGAAAGAGATCGAGAAGCTCCACGTTCCATTAAGGAAGAAGAGAAATGCGCATTGCGACGAATGATGCGTTGCGTGCACCTGTTTCGCGTTACGAAATTAGAAAAGAAGCGCATTCATTTTACGGTGATACGAAATTAACTTGGAGATACGTATATAGGGTGATCTTTCACTGGTGATATGTGAACGTACTGCATTTTGAGGCCAGAGATCGGCGGCCTGCTGATGGCTTCATGAATATTCTGCAAAATTGTGTTTTTTGTATGTACTCTATCCTGGACTGCGACCAAAATTTCAAGCTAACCGAGTCCATAATTTACACAACATCACACGAAGGAAAATCACATCCCTGTATCTCTGCTATTTTAACGATTACGAACGGTCATGTTGAACGGGCAGCGGATGTTAATTTCGTTCGTTAATCGCGTATGAAAACGTTAGAAGTGTTAAAAGCAACATGAAAACGTCGAAAATCTATGCGATAGTTGCGTAATTCTGTCGACGCTGAATGTTTGACGTTTTCGCGATAAGGTCCACTGGCCAATAAACATCTAGTTGGGTTTTGTGTACGCTCGGATATCACGAGATAGTGTATA